CCAATAAAGAGGAAGCTGGTGTTTACTTGGCAGGCAGAGAACAGGATACTTCATGCTTGGCATACTGCTACCTTTGGCATCTAGTCCAGAAGATGCTGTATTCTGCAGGGGTGGCAGTTATTTTGTCCTCAGGATAACATAGTGGAAGATACAGCTATATTTACATACAGAGATGCCTGTCACCCCGTAAGCTCACAAGAGGCAAAAGAAATGGCACAAACAGGAATAAATAAGCCAAGTCCTCAGTGCTTCTGGCAGTTGAATCCATGCTACTAAAGAGGGAGGCCTTTACCTCTTTCCTTGACCCCCAGAATGTCACTATTCCTTGGTTGGATCCAGTAACCCTCCCAAGAATGATAAGAGACCAGGTTTGTCAGAACCATCTTTTCCCAGATTACTCCAAATTAAGTGGTTGAGGTTTGACTCTACTGCCAAGTCAGTACTGCTGCCAGACTCAACACATATCCCTTTAATGAAACAGCAAAGATTAGTTCATTAAGCAAACCTCACACTGAAAACAGAAGTCTGGATACAAGTACAAGCTATCAAACGCTTGATAGACTTCAGATAATACATGGATGTAAACCTCACTGCAGTACAAAGCATTTGACTATGACTAGGACTTAAGGCTCTGACTAGACCAAACTACACATAGATAGGTACTGGCTATGTTTTAACAGTATTTTAAAGAGGTTTTAAGCAAGCTAACTAGCTAGTTTTTAACTAGACTTAGGCTTTCACTATACCTTAAAAAGACTCTTACAGGCTTTAACCATTCTGAGGCTCTGGCTAGGCCTAACTATGCTCTAACTAGATCCTAATTATGTTTAGACCTCAACTGGACTAGTTAGACTTAAACTTAGCTAATTAGGCCTTAAGTAATCTTAGCTCTGACAAGGTCTTAACTAGGCTAATTAGGCTGTAACTGGACTTTGACTTAGCTAGGCCTTAATTGGACTGACTAGGCCTTATCTAGTCTTTTTTTTTGGTCCTTAACTGAGCTGAATAGACCTTAATTTGGGTTGACTAGATTTGATTAGGCCTTAACTGAGGTGGCTAGGCCTTAACTAGGTTCTGTCTAGGCCCCATCTGAGCTGTGTAGAGCTTAATTGGATTGACTAGATCAGACCAAACCTTAACTGGACAGACTAAGTCTTAACTAGGTTTGGCCCTGGCTAGGCTCTAACTGGGTTGAGAACTGGATAAGCCTTAATTGGGCTGAGTAGGTCTTAACTGGGCTGACTAGACCTTATCTAGGCTCTGTCTAGTGTCGCGCAACTGACGACTCCGGAGACGGTCTTCTCTTCAGCACTTTATTTCCCCAGGCTATGTTACAGAAGTTCTTCTACCTTTCCCTTTCCCCGGGGCCTTATAAAGGG